AGCCAACAAGAACCCACTATATTGCACATATGTTCACCAGCATTGGGTCAGGAAGTGGTAGTGGTTCAAATAAATGAGAACACAGGAAATGGACTGTTGTGCACCTCTATTGTACTGAAACATGTTGAATTCAGCCGATAGGTGGTGGTGGACATTTAAGTGAACAGGAGCATTTGAAATCCTGGGGCCCTTTACAGATAAAAGTTGCCCCTTGCCTGTAATGTGTTCCAGAATACCAGTGGGCAGATGATTACCAGGGTATGTTCAGGGAATGTAAGCACTCTGGTCAGGTTCTAGGGCTGTGCACAATAGCCAGAGTATATTAAATATTTGCTTTTGGGTTAAATACCACATAATGAGAGTTTGATAGAGACTGACGAGAGGCAGTGTAGTTTTGCATCAACAAAAACAGGGACAACCAGAGCGAACTACTGTCCAATTCTAAAGGGGTCTAGTTGAAAAAATAGCACTGCTTAAAGAGTAGCTCCACTTTTGTTGAGAAACAAACATTCCCCTCTGGGTGATCTATATACATTGCAGGGATTTTACCAACTTTGTTGCAGATTCTTACCTTTTGTAATTCTAAAGAAAGAGCTGTTTGTTTATCTGTGTCCATGTGCAGAGCGAATGTGAATGTGAATGGGAGTGTTTTTTTAATTATCAGTCAGCTGCTGCACTTTCAGGGCTCTAATGAGAAAAATCACATGGTCTGCATCCTTTTAAGTGTGATTGGGAGTATCTCACCAAGAATTACATTTTTGTTGCAGGGGATGTCTGAAATCTGACTTATATCTTAGTGCAGACTTCTGGGAAAATCAGTGAGCCAATCACACAGTCAGGAAATGATGTTTCTGGGGGACTTTCTGTACATATTCTGTGTATAGAACACCTCCAGGTAGCCATATTACATAGCACTTTACAGATGACTATAGAGCTGCAGATTGAAAAGGAAAGGTCATTTTAATAACATTCAATGACAGTATGACTTGTGTCGCAATTTTATATACTATCTTTTTTCGTTTGCCATTTTTTTCCCCATGAAAGTGGAGTTACCCTTTAAGCTTCCTGAATAATATTTTTTCTCTTCAAACTGAAATGATTTAGTTTGCTGATGTATGTAAGCCAAGCTAATTGTAAAAAGGAAAAAACAATTTCACCGGTATATTCTGCCAGTGCACGCTATCACAAGTGAAAATTGTAGTGTTCCAAAACACCGCATACAGGTTTAAGGCATTCCCCAACCAGACTTGTCATTTATAGGATTTGCATATTTTCAGTGTTGCCCTTGAAGCTGCATGAAGAAAATCCCTTTCCACTGTGCCTGTTTGTTTTTTATTTATTTATTAATTTGTTTCCGGTGCTTATATAGCGCCGCCAATTTACGCAGCGCTTTTACATATATATATTGTACATTCACATCAGTCCCTAACCCTCAAGGGGCGTACAATCTAAGGTCCCTAACTCACATTCATACGTACACATACTAGGACAATTTAGACAGGATCCAATTAACCTACCAGCATGTCTTTGGAGTGTGGGAGGAAACCGGAGTACCTGGAGGAAACCCACGCAGGCACAGGGAGAACATGCAAACTTCAATTTTTAACACCAGACTGCCTATTAGCCCTAAAAATGGCAAGAATTTACTAACAGGATTTGCCCCCATAGACTTTTTTTTTAAATATACCATTTACTGCTTTTTAAATATGTAATACAATATAATTGCAATAAAGAATAAAAAGATATTCTTATAAAACATAGAGGAATACAGTCTTATGTCCTTACGTATGTGTCAATGGTATACACCACAATTACAGCAATGACAGGACATCTAGATACATTCAAATATAAAATGCACATGAAGAGAAAACATTGAAAATTATCGTCTCCTGAGAACCATGTTGGGGTTAGATTGTGGCAGGGGAAATGGGACCAAAGGCTCCAGACCTTGTCAAAACTCTTAGTAGTATGGGTGAGTTCGTAAAGGAGGAGAACAGAATGAATTACCTTTTTACACACTGATAAAGTTGAAGGAAGGTTCGCTTCCAGGTGATTGAAATTATTTTGTTGGCATAAAAGTTCAGCTCCCTTAATCATTTTTTTTTTGGTGTGAGAATTAGATCCGGGTCATACCGGTGCCACTTGTCATGCAAATTCAAATTGCATGACAAATCGCACCCTTTTCTTCGCAACTGAAGCAGTCATTGTCGGAGTCACACCGATTTTGGAAGTAGTACATGCACTATTTTATGCAAGTTCAGGTACAACTTGCATAGACACCTGTGCATGTAGTCGCACAGATGTCTTGCAAGTCGCACCTGAAGTCACACTGACATCCGACGTTGAAGTCGCATGATTACAAAGTCGGATTCGGTGTGACCGAAGACTACATGGGAAGATCCTCCACTAGCTCCTCCACTAAGATGCATGCCTTGGGACATTTTAAATTAGGTAGGCCAAAGACAGTTTCAACAAATCTGCATGCCTGCATCCAGAATAATTGTATTTTGGTGAAAGACCATATATCATGAAGAAAATCTGCAGAAACAGAGCCAAGAATGCCTAATTTTTAATTATACAACTGCATGGGTACGTAGTATGTCTAATGGTAGAACTTGAGTTGGATGAGTTTATCTTTGGAGGAGATAATTGAAGACATATAGGTTTACTCAACATCTTCCCATTCTTCTGTCAACATTTGTGGTATAATATGTCATTTGAGGACTAAGAGATGTTTTGGTAGTGAGCAGTTCCTCCTTAGACTTTAATGAGATTGGCTGTAAATTTGGGTTCAAAACATTCTAAACAGGGTTCACCAAATTCTCAGTGAATCAAATCCTGGCAAATATTACATTGGAGTGTGAAGCATCAGTTGTTTTTAATGGCTGAGGCAGTTGGGCAGACATTTTATGAGGACATTTCACCACTGGAGTCTTATAGATTCAAAGTAAACAGGGCAATAATTATGTGTGATTCAGCAACAAAACAGCTAAAAGGGTCCTTTTGCCTCTTTAATCTCCACTTCATGGCAATTGATTGATATCAATTTCATGGAGGTTCCCAAACTGTATATGCACATTATTGTTCCCCAAACATATTTGCCAGATGTTATTGCCCACTGTACAAATCACAGTACTAGGCTAATTTTGCTTTGAGGCTGTAAAGCCCTGATGCCCAACCTGTGGTCCAAGGGCCACATGCGTTTGTTGCCCTCAGACCTCAGTGATCTATAGTGGGAACCAGAGCCTCTGTTAAGAGGGTACAGGAAGCCCTCTTGTACCGGGCCTCATAGGGGCAGCAGAGGGGCCTGGCAGGGAGACTGTACATGAGGGTTGGTGCTATCCCCTTTAATAGAAGATCATCCCGTGTTGTAATACACTTCCTTCTAGCCTGCCCAAATAGTACACTAGCAGGCTATGACACTTGAGTGATGTCAGGAGGGAGGGACTTATGAGGGAACTTGAGATACCCTTTGCTTCTTCCTCAGCCAATGATACCTGTCCATCACATTTATTAAATCTTCATCCGTAGTCTTCCTGTTTTGGTGCATGCAAAAGATGGAGCAGCACTGAATGGAGTTTCTGAGCAACCTGCAATGATTGAAGTGAGGAAGAGTTTTGCCCCATTAGTAATAAAGGCAAACTGGGGAGCTGCTAGATGTGCCTGTTATTGTGCAGCCTATGCTCTCCATCAATGATTTTGCCCCCTTTAATAGTAATTGTCAATTACTAATACAGGCGTACTTCGGTTTACAAACGACTCGGTTAACGTAATTTTCGGTTTACGAATGAAAATCCATTGAAAATAATGCCTCAGTTTACGAATTTTTGTTTGCAATACAAATGTCTTAATTGGTTTTCAATGCATTTATGAATTGTTTTTTAGTCATGTCCCTGTACAGTACTATGCCTTTAAAGTTCACTTCATAAAGAGTTTTGAACAGATAAGACTTTTTTTTACTTTTTTCTGGTCTCCAGAATGGATTAATTGGTTTCCAATGCATTTACGATTTTTTTTAATCATGTCCCTTTATGCCTTTAAAGTGCACTTTATAAAGAGTTTTGAACAGGATAAAAGACTTTTTTTTTACTTTTTCTGACCTCCGGAATGGATTAATTAGTTTTCAATGCATTCCTATGGGAAACCGCATTTCAAGTTTAGGAATTTTTCGGCATACGAAAGTCCTGCTGGATGAATTAAATTCGTAAACGAGGTACGCCTGTTTATTACAATAGTCTGAAAATAGTTCTGAAAAGTCCACATAGTACACTAGCAGGCCAGGACTCCCGAGTGAGGTCAGGAGGGAGGGAGTAATGAGGGATAAGCCGCGATGGACTGTTCTGGAGAGAGCATCTAAGCAGCTGCTGTGAGGCGCCCAAGAGATGATCCTCAAACCTCCTGAATAACTTTTTTTTGACAATTGGCATGAGCCTCAACCGCTAGCCATGTGTTTGGCTCATGTTTGTGGTGTGGCTCCACTGATCTGAATGGACAAATTTGGCACAGCCGTGACACAAACCATTGCAACCATGGCATGTGAGCAGCCTCCAGTAGCTGTATTTTAGACTTTCCCTAGATTCTCACCTAAGAGTTTTCTGCAGTGTTTTGCAGAAATGCAAACTTTTGTGTTTAACACCTTCCCGCCCGGCCTATAGCAGATTGACGGCCAGGCGGGCCACTCGCCGTTGTGACTGGGTGTCATATGACGTCCTGTTAAAATGCGCCACTCACGCGGCTGTGCAGTGGTGCGATCTGTCACCGGCTGTGTCCACGGGACACAGTCGATGAGATATCACTACATAGGCCTGTTGCCAGTGTCATGTGACCACTGTGACCAGTCACAGCAGATCACATGTCAATTGTATACAATGGATAGCTTCTTGTCATGCATCCATTGTATACAATCAGGGGCGGACTGACAACTCATGGGGCCCCCGGGTAATAGGGGATCATGGGGGCCCCTGTGTCCTTGCCCAAACTCAAAAAAGCCTATTAAAAAGGTACCAGGGGCATCTCATGGGGCCCCCTACTGACCCCGGGCCCTCGGGCATTGCCCGAGTTTCCAAATGGTCAGTCCGCCCCTGTATACAATTATGTTGTTAGCTGTGACTGGTTAAGGCAGTCACATGATACAAACAGGGCCAATCACAGTTCATCTGTATCATGTGATCAGCTTTGCCCAATCACAGCTAATCATAACAAATGATTGAATAAATCAGTTTCATTCAGTAACAATGATTGCAAATATCAATGAAATACATTGGTATTAGCAATCATAATGTGTTAAAGAAAAAAAAAAATCCTGATCACTTGCCCAGAGTAGTTCAATGTTACTATGGTAACATTGTATTGTTTTGGTCACAGTGTGCTGAAAAAAAAATTTTTTATAAAAAAAGAAAAAAATAGAAACATTTGAAAAAAAAAATACAAATTCAATTATTATTATTATTTTCACCAAAGAAATGCAGCATAATACATTTTGACCTTGAATTTATGAAGAAATGTTATTTATTTGCAAAATTGTTTAACAGAAATGAAGAAAAGTGTTTTTTTTTTGTTTTATTTAGCAAAAAATAAAAAAAACCCTCAGTGGTGATTAAATACCACCAAAATAAAGCCCTATTTGTGTGAAAAAAAATGATAAAAATTTAATATGGGTACAGTGTTGCATGACCGCGCATTTGTCATTCAAAGTGAGAGAGCGCTGAAAGCTGAAAATTGGCCTGGGCAGAAAGGGGGTATAAGTGCCCGGTATTGAAGTAGTTAAAAAAGTCCCTGACCCTTAACAAAAAACACACTGGGTAAAAATGCAGAGATGTGAACCTGTCCCGTAGGAAATCATGTTAAATGGTCTGTAGTGCCTTTTCTGCAACACGCTGCGGAACATGCTTAGGGTACCTAGGGTAGGCTGCAGAACCTAGGGTAATAGGGAATAGGGATGGCAATAGAAACTGATGAACTGGTGTTCTAAGCCCTCTCCACTCTATCCAAAACTATAACACAAAATGTATACTTTAAATAAAGGAACCACTTTTTATCTTCTATTCCAGCTTACTCATCAGTGACTTTAAAGGTAAACTATAAGCAGCTATATAAAATATAGCACTGTTGTTTAATGCAATTATCCATCTATCAAAAGGAATTCAGTGCTTTTTAAATGCAACTAATATAAGTAACTTAGTCTATACTGATATCAGCCTTTTGTAACCCCTTGTAGATTAGAACATGTGCCTGACGAGTAACATGCTGAACGAAGGAGTGAGAAGAGAGATAACCTCATCAGTGTACTGCTACTCATTTGGGGAGGTGAATGATGACCAAGTTATAACACTTAACTGCAGTAAATGAAAATAAGGTCACCAACCTAGCTGTGCTGTCTAGCAGAACTGTTGGAGAAAATTACACATCATCTGGCAAGTAAAGCAAGTCCCATGAATGTATTTCAAAAGTATATTTAGCTGTTTGCCTGGAGTTCAGCAGCAAAGTAATGTACAATTTCAATGCTGTTTTACTCTTCCTTATAACAAGGTAATCTTGCTCCATGTATCGTACTTGACAGATTTGCTTTACCTGTTCTGGAAAGCAGGGATCCTGCCTGAACAAAGGTGCCAGTGTTATAGCCAATAAATAGTTAAAACCCTGCAAACCCAGTTTATTGTAAATACTGTACAATGCTTACTACACATTTAAAGAAAGAAGTAGTTAAAATTCAAATTATTTTATAGAGTGATTCTTAAAGTATGTTAATCACTAAACCGTGCCAATTGATGCTTTTAAATATTCAATATTATATCTAATCAGCTGCCACTTTAAATTACTACGTAAAATGTATTCCAAAAAATACCACTCCTAATATTAGTGATAATTAGCGGCGCATTATATATATTTGTCACACTAATTCCTTTTGATGGTCTCTATGTGCAAACTCATTTACACAAATATTAAGGGACATAAATTATACGTGACAAAAAAGAAACAAATTATATATGTTATAATAGTGCCCACAAAACACCGTAAAATATAAGTCCAGTGTAATCAATAATGAATTAATTGATTACACTGGACTTATATTTTACGGTGTTTTGTGGGCACTATTGTAACATATATAATTTGTTTATTTTTTGTCACATATAATTTTATGTCACATATAATTTATGTCCCTTAATATTTGTGTAAATGAGTTTGCACATAGAGACCATCAAAAGGAATTAGTGTGACACATATATATAATGCACCGCTAATTATCACTAATATTAGGAGTGGTATTTTTTGGAATAAGTTAAAATTCTAAGTACTCAGATTTATGCATAGCTTAACTTTATTCATCATTATACAGAATACACCATCAGAATTGGCAGAAAGAAGCTCTATAAATTGCTTCTCTTTACTTTGCAGTATCAAATGGGAGATATGTGGAGGACCATAAAATGCAGCATGCTAGATGATATCAACTTCAGCTATAGGCTGAGGATAAGAGAAGGGGCGCATAACACACATTCTTTACAATTATATTAACTGCCTGGATTTTTTAATTGAAAGCACCTTAAATAAAAATATATCCACAAATACATTTTCCAACTTGCAGATATGCTTTAGATTAAAAACAATGGCGGTAAGGTAACTGTTAAGAAATAGAAAAAGGAGTTCATTTTAGTTCACTAAAAGCAGAAGGGAAACAAATGGATTTGTATATCTGGATAAGGTTGGCCTCTAGTGGCAGAATAAAGTAACTTTCTCTGGAAAGGTAATTATAATTAAATAAAATTATTCCTAACTGTAAAGCACACTCTAATACTCACCCTCCCTACCAAAGTTAAGTACACTGCTCAAAAAAATTAAAGGAACACTTTGAAAACACATCAGATCTCAATGGGGAAAAATATCATGCTGGATATCTATACTGATATGGACTGGGCAATGTGTTAAGAATGTAAGGATGCCCCATCGTTTGATGGAAATGAAAATTATCAACCTACAGAGGACTGAATCAAAGACACTCCGAAAATCAGTGAAAAAATGATGCAGCAGGCTAGTCCATTTCGCTTAAATTTAATTGCAGCAACTCAAAATGGTACTCAGTAGTTTGTATGGCCCCCCCATTTGCTTGTATGCATGCCTGACAACATCAGAGCATACTCCTAATGACACAATGGATGGTGTCCTGGGGTATTTCCTCCCAGATCTGGACCAGGGCATCACTGAGCTCCTGGACAGTCTGAGGTGCAACCTGGCGGCGTTGGATGGACCAAAACATGATATCCCAGAGGTGTTCTATTGGATTTAGGTCAGGCGAGGTTGGGGGCCATTCATTGGTATCAATTCCTTCATCCTCCAAGAACTGCCTGTTTACTCTCGCTACATGAGGCCGGGCATTGTCAAGCACCAGAAGGAACCACTGCACCAGCGCACAGTCTGAGAATGGGTGAAAGGATTTCATCCCGATACCTAATGGCAGTCAGGGTGCCATTGTCTAGCTTGAAGAGCTGTGCGTCCCTCCATGGAGATGCCTCCCCAGACCATCACTGACCCATCACCAAAACGGTCATGCTGAACGATTTTACAGACAGCATAACGTTCTCCACAGCTTCTCCAGACCCTTTCATGTCTGTCACATGTGTTCAGGGTGAACCTGCTCTCATCTGTGAAAAATACAGGGTGCCAGTGGCGGACCTGCCAATTCTGGTGTTTAATGGCAAATGCCAAGCAAGCTCTATGGTGCCAGGCAGTGAGCACAGAGCCCACTAGAGGACGTCGGGCCCTCAGGCCACCCTCATGAAGTCTGCTTCTGATTGTTTAGTCAGAGACATTCGCACCAGTTGGCTGCTGGAGGTCATTTTGTAGGGCTCTGGCAGTGCTCATCCTGTTACCGGTCCTGCTGATGAGTTAAGGACCTTCTACGGCCCTGTCCAGCTCTCTTAGAGTAACTGCCTGACTCCTGGAATCTCCTCCATGCTCTTGAGATTGTGCTGGGAGACACAGCAAACCTTCTGGCAATGGCACGTAGTGATTTGCCATACTGGAGGAGTTGGACAGCCTGTGCAACCTCTGTAAGGTCCAGGTATTGCCTTATGCTACCAGTAGTAACACTGACCCTAGCCAAATGCAAAACTAGTGAAAAACAGTCAGAAAAGATGATTAGGGAAAAAAATGTCAGTGGCCTCCACCTGTAAAACCATTCCTGTTTTGGGGGTCGTCATGAGATCCAAGGAGGCGGTGCACTGCTGGAGGATGCGGGGATGGCCGGCTGCATCTTTTATTCTAGAGGTGAAGGTTGGTGCATGAATTGGGTGGTCATGACGAGGGGGGGTGGCGAGGTGGGGGACGTGTGTTGGTCAGCGGTGGCAGTGGGGGGATGGGGGAGGGATTGCTATGATGAAATGTGGTGGCAGAGGGTGGTGGTGGTGCTAGTGGGGGGGCGCCCAATTTTAGTTTTGCGTAGGGCAGCACATTAACTAAATACATGACTAGTATAAACACCTTTCCAATAGCAATGTAGTTTTGGGCAACTCCATAACATGTGAATTAGATTGGCTGGGCCTCCATTGCATTTGGGACAAAGAGGAATATCTCAGTGGTGCCCACATAAATAATTTATCGGGAATATGACAAGTCCTATGCAGAAGGAATTGTTGAGTTAGTTTGTGGGTGGGGGATAAGGAGACTAAGGGCTACCTCCCACTGGCCATCAGATATAGGACCCAAATCCTTCGTCCACTGAGCCCTGGTTGGTAAGAATATGGAGTCCTGAAAATTGTCTTAGTTATACTTTAAAACCTTGTATGAAATTTCAAAGTTTTCTTATGTTGCAGCCAATATACTCCCATTAGAATATAATTCAATGAAAGCTATAAAAAATAAAATCATTTGAGGAAAACTGTAAAAATATGTTTACCATACACCCCCAGCTTCTGGACGGTTTCGGCAGATGCTGGTGACATTACTGGCCCTCAGCACTTAGTTCCTGAAACTACTCAAGATCCTTTTATTCAGGGAAAATACTCTGGCACTTTAAAGGGATTTAGGGTCCTTTGCGTTCCCTGGTTCCCTCAAGAAACCCTCATCTAAGCAAGCGCTCTGAAAGTCACGGTGTGAGGAAAGGATTTTTATTACTTTTTTTTTCCGCTGAAGTATACCCAAAGGCAAAACGTATTCTGTTATTTTGGATAGAGTAGAGAGGGATTAGATCACCTGTCAGGTTTTTATTGCTACGTC